CTGAAAATGCTCTGTGGCTTTGGGAGCGTATGTCCTATGATACCCCAGTGTCAGGACACGAGCTGGTCAACATATTGCATTACACCAAGAAAAACAAGGGACCTTGACCTCCAGTCTTCACTTGAATACAAATGAATACTGTTTACAGTTGCTCATTCAGTACAGTTTTGACAGGACGTAAGGACACAATTAGAGTTTGTACAAAACCTGACATCAGAGAGTTAAGTTGAATTTTAAAAGTAGCTAGTTTCACAGGCCATTTCTTATTATTGTCAACACTGACTTCAAGGACATTAATCTCACAAGTTAATACAGTACATCTCTCATTTCTCACAGAAATCCACTGCCCATCTAGATTTGGCTTTGCCCAGGTTTCAGAAATATCTGTCCAGGAGGTTTTTGGTTTAATCCCCAAACAATAAGGTGAATGGATTTATTTTGTGTGCGTGTGTGAAAAAAGGTTTAATAAATTAATTAAACAGCAACAGCAATGAAATAGCAACAGTTTTTTTTCCCAGAATCAGCTTGTTAATCTGGATACACATGGGCAATAGATTTCTTACTTTGTAATTTGCTAATTGCTACTTTGCTAATTTTCCAAAAAAAATTGTCCACAAAGTAACTAGGACATTGTTTCAGGACAGACAGTGTGTTGTTATTTTTTTAACTGAAAGATTTCAATGCTTTGATGACCAAATAAATTAAACAAATTGAAGTAAGTTAATTTTACCTCCACTGGAACCACACTTCTCAGTGCAAACACATTTACAATCTACCTGAAACTCGGCCTTTTTACATTCACACTACACATTTACTGAATTTAATGCCACGTGTCTGTGTTTTGTTAACTTAGTAATTCCATTCTATTCTCCATATGCTATTATCACTACTTCAGTGTATTCTTTATGGGCAGTACATCTATTGCATGTAGAAAAATCACACCTTTCCTTCAGAGGGTTTTACAATACACAACAAATTATAAACAGTGAAAAAAATGAAGAAGCCTCATGAAGAGCAACACAGGGGGAGAGTCTGCCCAAGAAGGTGAGGTTTCTCCTTTTTTTTCCCTCCCTGTTTAATATATTTTTTTTATATTTTAAGATCCTCTGATGAAAAGGTGTGATTTGTGATTTTGGGCTTTATGAAGAAAATTTACTTGACTATTGTGGTCACAGCAGAAGTCTAAGAGATGGCTATCTCAAAATCCAAGCAAAACTCTCTCCGTAGTTAGTGAAAAAATATGTCTTTTGTAATTTGGATGAACTGATCTTTTATGAAAAGAAGGTGAAAGAATGATATTAGCAACGTTAAGGGAAGGAATAAAAAGCAGCACACATACAGTGAGTAACCCTGTAATAAATGACTGCTCCTGTTGTCAAAGATAACAGGACAAAAGCTACATTTGCTGGATCAGTACAAATAAAAAGAAATGATTCCCTACGTGTGCAGCCGCTCATTTTCTCCGTCACAATGCCACGGAAGTTCCAGAAACCCGGCTCACAGCGATCACACTTTGGACCCCCAACGCCCGGTTTACAGGAACACTGACCAGTGGCTGGGTCACATGTCCCCTTGTAGGAGCCGTAGACATTACAATGACAGGTACCTGAGGGGAGAACACAGCAACATGGACGTCACTTTTAACTAAGCCCTATACCGAAAATAAAAGCATGGATAAAGTGTACTTAGTGTGTTTCCCCTTTACTAAATCTCTGTACACCCTAATTTCTAAGCCTGCATTTTCTCCATCCATACTGTATCCCTTGGCTCACAGCTTGATGCGGCACGTTCTCCCCCATCTGTGTGCTATCGTTCATTAAGATCATCGAGAGATCTTTTTGTTGATACAGTGCAACATTATCATACAGTAATTATTCCTCGGATTAAGATGAAACATTTTCATCTCTGCAACATTGGTATCCTAATCACAGTCAAGGACAATAAGCCCTGTATGCTGAAACAGCCTGATAGTATCTACATTTTTTGAATGCGCCCAACAAACTCATCAAGGGTCAATGTGGGACACAGGAGAGAACTTACTGGGACATCCAGCCTGTCCGACTCCTAAGGCAGCCGTCACATTGTCGGAGCAGCAGCCATACACAGACAGACTGCAGTGCTGAGGTGCTGTAAGCTCAGGGATAGATGTGGCTGAAATCGCTGATTAGGTAGAAATGGGCGGGGGGGGACAAGGAGAGACAGAAGAACACCAACATTTGAGTGATTACTGTGGGGAGAGGGTTGGTGGTGGGAGTAGACAAAACAATCTCCAAGCAACATGTAACTTTTTGCCAACAATGAGATTGGCTTGAGGGGTAGAGGTGGAGAGGCTGGCAGTCAGCTTCAAGATAACAATTCTATTTGCTACTTTTCTTCACAATGGCTCAAAATCAAGGGGAAAATGATGCTATTACCTCCAGTGAAAACAAACAATGGCGTTGCTGGGGAATGCAGCTGACATTTACCACCTACCAGGAGGCATGTTCTCTTCATTTGTTCTTGTCTAATATTACGGAATTGCGCTGCCCTACAACCTCCAGGTAAAAAAAAAAGCCTTCTGCATAATATGAAGGATTGTGCCAAGCAGAGTCTGCCTGCACACATTGCATAGAGAGCTCTTTTGTCTAAGGATGCACAAACCTTCCAACCAGTGTGGCAGCTTTGAATACAGAACTACATTCAACAATACGAAAACAAATGTGTTCCCATAACCTGGTGCTTCTCCAGAAATGGGACAAGAACAGCAAAACATACAGAGAGAGAAAAAGGGGATTTATTTAACAGCCAAGGCAAAAATGTCATTGTTCAAATTCTCTCCAGGATTCGGACTGAAAAGTAAGTTGTAGAGATAAAGAGTAGAAATCTCTCCTTCCCTTTTTTCTCCGTCTTTCTCTTTTCCCCTCCCAATCTCTTTTTCATGTGTTGCTCATTTAGAGTTTGGAGGCTGGAGATACAGAGGCCATAAATCACACTGCTACTGGTGTGGATATAAGACCCCGCCTAATGGTGATGACTCGACTCGCTCTTTTTCCAGTGGTTTCCCACTCTAGAGATGGGCTTTGGATACAGTTCATTTAACTTGCCACTTTCCTGCGCTCCATTCAGCTAGCTGTACTGAGCCTATTAGGACAAAGAGAACTTTTAATTTCATATGTTCTTCCACCCTTCGAGGGTTTTTCCTCTTCAGTGGCCATTGTCCGGCACAATGCAGCTTACTGTGACGAGCAACATTACCCTCACATATCTGTGCAGATTCTCAGTCATCCAGGTCATAGTAAACCGCAACCGAAATAACCTTGGATTAGGTAGAAACTGCTCCCCAATCAACCAAGTTGATTTCCAAGGTTATTTCGGTTGCGGATTACCCTCACATTTTCAAGATCTGCTACTCTGCTTTCTCCACTGTGGTGATTGTAGCTAGTCTTTTATATTCCTGAAAGTTTACTCCTCCACATTTGCCTGTCTAGTAAACCAATATACTTTGGACTTTAATAAAGGCCCTGACCCGGAGTTGAGTTACCAGTCAGCTATATAGGAAATACTACAGTATATGAGGCAAACCTTTCAAATGTGCTTGCAACATATGGTTTTCAAAATCAGAACCTCAAGAAAACAAGTGTTTTTTTTTTCATGCTCAGCTAGTGAGAGCTGGTCTTTATAAGTCAAATGAGGTCAAATGAAGTTTCTACTCACATAGCTAATACAGAGGGCAGTGAAATTCCCCAAGATCTAAGTTTTTCCATTAGCCAATATGAGAGTAGAGCCCAAAGCGCTCGTACCCATAGAGGGCTCTTCAAAAAAAGATTGATTATCCATGGATGGTAGAGAAGCGTGACAGTCAGTGCCCAAGGAGGCCAGTTTAGGAAGGAGAAGAATCTGGAAGGATGTGTGTGAAAACACTGGCAGCTCTCTCATTCTCACTCTCTCTTCAACACTTTCCATCCTCTCGTTTAGATCCACAGAGAATCAAACAGCCTGGAATGATCACACAAAATCCCTTAAGTGCCTTTTGCCCTGCTCCCGGGCCTGAGCTAGCATCGAAGTAAAAGCTCTTCATTTAACATAGCCATGAAGAGGAAGGTGGCTAACCTTTGCTGCTTATCCCACTGATCTAATTGCTATTCTGGCTGATAAATACTGTTCATTTACATGCAAAGAGGGGGTCTTTATATTAATGTTAGCGGGGTAAACTGGTATCCCCAGGGTTAAGAAGCAATCTTGTGACCACAATTTAAATGATTTTTATTTGCCAGAATTTCTGGGAAGGAAAAGTGAACTATTATTGCTATCGGCTCAATTTGTACAGGGGCCCGTGAGAAAGATTCTTAACCCTGCACCCTCTAGCCAGTCCTAGAGGAGTGGTCAGTCTGGGGAACTGAACAAGAGCTCTACAGAAAAGTGTTACGTGTGTTGAGTCAACATTTCCCAAGCAAACTACACAAAGATACACACGACATTTAACCTTGACCTTCACTTCATTGGCTTATGGCTACAGCGGTCACACTGCACAAACAACAGCAGTGTTGTTAGAATAATGTTCCAACTTCATACTACCCCATCAATGGATGAAATGAGTGGAGAAATGGGATGTCAATGACAATGAGTCTTGGCAAGGGTGTTTCTGCATACTGTAATGTTATTAACTCTCGAGTGGTGTAATGTACCGACCTGCGCAGGGCCCCTGATTCTGAATCAACAAGTGCTCTTGTTTCTCACATCTGGCCTTCTTCAGCTCACACTCGTTGTTGTAGTTTTTTCCATCTGAACCACAAACCTACAAAAGAATCACAAAAGGTTGAGTACTGCACAATACAAGGTTTGACCCTAAGCCTAATACTGTAGCTACAGAGGGTGACAAGTCAAAGAAAAAACTGGGTGGCCTCATTCAAGATGACAAAGCCCCCATCCATAAGACAGAAGGGGTCACTGAATGGTTTGTTGTATGAAAATGATGAGAATTACATGCTGTGGCATTCAGAGTCACCAGATCTCAACCCAGCTGAACACCTATGGGAGATGTTGGAGCTATGTGTTGGACAGCGTCTCCACCAAGGTGCACTGAAGCTGTTCTGGTGCCCAACAGTGCCCAGCACCTTAATGAGACATGTTCCTTTCATTTTTCACCCATCTGTAACTTATGCCATACTCACTGCATGTGTTAATGAGGCATATCCCATATGTAACATGAGAGTTCATTTCTTGCAACTAGAAAATTTTCACTGTGTATATTCCAGTGTGACTGAGTTGTTACTCTAAGACTAAAACATGTGAGTGGTTACTGTCAGTAAGCTGAAGGAAGCTGTACCAGGTTGTGAGGAACACTTTTGCAGGTGAAGTCACAGATGCAACGGTCCTCCTCTGCATCCTCATCCCACGAGCCTCCAAACATACGACAGCGGTCCACTTCACAGCTCTCCACGCCTGAGCCTGACCCTCCAGAGCCACAGTCTGCATCATACAGCATAAATACAAAAAATGTTGAACTAAACGCACAAGGCAGAGCCCCTTTTTCAATGCATCAGGTAGAAACTGCTCCCCAGTTTTATTTCTCTATAAGGTAAGGCTACATTTACACATTAGGAGCATTGAAAAGTTAGGATAATTTACATTACTGTCACAGCAGTCGTGGGGAGAGAGTATCAAAGGCACTGCTGTTAGAACAAGATAATGACTAACTGTAGTGAGGGCAAAAGACTGACTAAATAAATTAGACACAACACCTCTGCACCAACAGCAAAGCATCTTTTTCATTTCAATTAAATTAGAGACAAAAAGGAGAGGGAATTATTAACCCTGGTTTCCAAATGTGCAGAGAGAATTGGTGGCACAGCCTGCTTTATGGGTGCCTGCTTCCTGATATGAGAATGCAACTAATTGCAAAATGTTCTGTAAAATCTAATTATCTTCTGAGACTTTAGAGAAAGTTGTCCAGGCAGTTCTTTAACTGTGACCTTGGAAGGCCTTGGATTTGTTTTAAAACCACACTTCTCTGGATCAAAGTAAAAGAGATGCTCAAGCTGACCTTCCTCGAAACAGAGGTAGCAAGGCAAAGTTAAGTCATATAACCACAGGATTTATGCTTTCACAAAACTGCTGTCATTGTTTACCTGTTGTGAAAACTTTAGCTCAAGGTAAGGAATCCAAAAATTAAAGGGATACATGAAAACCGGAGGAGGGACTCTTTGGGGTTTCATTTGTGAAAAACAAATCATGGGTTGTCAGGTTGTTACAGAGTGCAGGCAAAGAAAGAGTTAGGATACTGCTTTTGAAGTTGAACATTTCACCTACAGTGGAACTCCTGAGGGAGAGTAGGTGAATGTGTGTGAAGGCAGGGAATGAAAGCAGTCAGCAAGAAAGATGGCGAGAATGTCAGACAGAAAGAGAGGCACCCTGGGGGCTGACAGAAAGTTCATTTAAAACAAATTTGCTATTCAAAAAATGAATATAGTCTGCCTAAAAGCTCCCAGTACAGCTGAAAGACTTAAGGAACATCAGGTAATCAAGGTGTTTCCTCCTCTTCCCGGCTACTTTTAGGGCCCATTCAACTCTGTATTGATGTGCCGTCTCTAATGATGAAATCTCTGCTGTAGTGGTGGAAGTGCCATGCAGCATAACCCATCTTCGAAAGTACATTATGGAGCGGGTCACAGTGCAGGGGCAGATGAAGCCTAGCCTGCTCTTTGATAATGGTCATTAGCAATGGGCTGTGACAGCTCTGAGAGGTCGATACAGTGGAGAGGTCCTTACTTTATTAGCTGTGGATACAACAATGGCACTGAAGCTTAGTGCATAGTTAGGTCACATCCCCCACAAACATCAGGACTTGTTAAAGACTCGCTCTGTTTCCATTTTAAACCAGCAGTATCTATGTCCCTAATCCATTTATACTTGAATTTGCTGTTGTAGTTACCTATTGATCACGAACCGCAGTCCGAGCTGAACATAACATCTTGTGACGGGGCTAATATGCTGGCTAATGGCTTTAAACTGCCAGTGACATTATCACAGGTATTTGACTTCAGATGTCATCTAAGAATGAGAAGTCAATTGACTCCAGAACAGATCAGACAGAGAAATAATGAGAGCTGAGGCACTGGCAGCTGCCCACCTGTATCTTTGTACTGTAAGGCCAGTGCTGCAAGATGCAGTAAAAGGGAAATGCAGGCATTGCCAATTCATATTCTGCTCAGGACCCCTTACTGAGACAAGATAAATACATAAATAAAAGAAGTAAGACATTAGAATAGAATAAATAAGCGTGAAGGACGAAGGGGGGTCCTAATTAGCTGTTGCTCTTTGATGTGCACGCCACCCACACTGCCTATGAACCTTTCAATTAATACATCCCCAGCTAAGATTGCTGCATCAGCTATTCTCTCTGCACTCCTCATCCATTCCTTTTTACTCAATCAAGACAGAAGCCTGAGTCTATTTAGCCAAGGGAGCCCCATTTAGAAGACAAAATTCTGTGCTGGAGACAAGAAAGGCAATGAATAGCATAAGAATTATGTTCAAGAAAGAACAGAGAAGAACACGCATTACAAGGATTTGACAGTGGAGATAATAGAAGTGAAAGAGAAGCTGTTATCTAGTTAAAGCCATCTAGAAAACAGAGAAGAAGACAAGAGAAGGATAAAGGGTAAATAATAAAGACAAAATGTGTGTGGTGGACTGTGATGCAGCTTGAGGATGTTTGACCTGTGTGGATGTTGGACATCTATCATTCGAAATCCTTCTTCATTACGGCATGTGTCATGGGAAAGATCAAAAATGAGAACAGTCTTTGGAGAGGGATGCAGCATTGTGCAGTCTGCCATCAGCCCCTCGTACGGCCTGAGCTTGACAGATACGACAGTCCAAATTAAGTTCCCATAAGATAGAACGGGATGGAACATCATGCCTAGTATGAAGGGATGTGGTGTTTGGAGATGGAGACGGATACCTCAACAGAAGGTTACATGCTCTGTGATGGATGGTCCATGATGGAAGGATCCACTAAGCTCATTCTGATGAGCTCTGTTAGCACCTAGCCATGCCCTCCCATGTCTTTTGAAGTTTTCCTGATACAATCTGTGCAATGTGAGAACCACGGTGTGGACTGTGCATCACTGTGTGATTCTGCTCTCATAATCTTGTTTATTAAACGTCTATTCAATTAAAAAGGGCCTGAAGCCCTGTACGTGATGCACTGCTCTCAGTTGCTACTTCGTCAGTGTCGAGAAAAGGAGCTAAGGCCAGGCCTACCCGAGTGTGAAATTAAACAGGTGATAAATTTCTGTGTATGGCCAACAATGAGAACACTGTCATTTTTCATTACTGTTAAATAAAAGGTGGGAGAAAACAACTTCCATTTTTATGCTCTGTTCCCCCCTCCCCCTAGCAAGACTAATGAGGATGGTTTTAAAGTCAGGCCTATGTAAGTGAATAAATCACACGTTCTTCCTCTCAAGGCTTATCTTTGATATGAAGTATGGAGTGGGGCGTTGTGCATAGTAGTGATGTAGTGCTTTGCTGCTGTCTACAACAGGGCCAGAAAATACAGTCTTTGGCTTTTTACTTTGCAACATAGTGCTGTATTACACAATATATACTCCTAATTTCACAAAACCTACCACCCATACATCTAGGCTGGGCTGAATATATCAACAACAAATCCTTTTTATGGTATGTAGCCAAAGAGAAGTATTCTACCTCCAAACACAGATATTTCAAGGGGGTAAAAGAGCAATGTAGTTTTGATCATTTTACAATCCCAGTAGAGTTCCTGTGGAAGGTTAAATTTCAGGGGCTGAAACGACTGTGGACAGAACCTGTAGACAAAGACAGGACCAGTGGTCACCCCTAGGGTGAAATTTATCGATTTCACACAGTCCCATCTCCACCCATATCTGTGAAAGCATTGCTGCCCCTTTTGATTTGATTGATTTGATTTATTTATTCTTTCAAGCATGTAAAGACAGTTGATATATCAACACACATAATTTTACACATATCCAACAAATGCTAATCCAATATCAATTTGCTTATACCTAGTACATGCTTGAATGGAGTAGGAAGAAGTCAGACTTATCCAGTCCTACCCCATGACATCATCTTACCATCATTGGTTTGCAAGCAGTAAATAATTCTCTTCTACACCACACAAGTAATATACTAAAAAAATATAACAGAGTGTTAACATTCGTACATAATTACATTCTTAAATAATTATCTTCTACACCACACAAGTAATATACTAAAGAATTGTTACAAAGTGTTAACATTCATACACCACACCCACAATGTTCCATCTAATTAATCATTGAGCCTGTTCTTGCATATATCTTGATTGACACATACCTTTATATTTATGTTTAAACTCATCAATTCTATTACTATTTCTTAAGTCCACACTTAAATTATTCCATAGTTTGCTATTTTGTGCTGAACATATCTGATATGAGATTTCCAGGAGAATTTGTCATCAACTATGACACCTAGAAATTTTATTTCATATACTCGTTCTATATTAGCTCCCCCACTTTTCAATTGAAGTTCATTATCTAGTCTACGATTCCCAAATACCATACATTTAGTTTTATCCAAATTCAGAGATAGTATATTACTATCACACCATTTCTTTATCTTCTCAAGTTCCTGTGTAACCCGTCCAGAGAGTTGCTGTAGGTTTTCACCCGATGCCCATATGGTAGTGTCATCAGCAAATAAGACCACTTTCACTAAATCAGAAACCTTGCATATATCATTAATGTATAATATAAATAATTTAGGTCCCAAAACAGAACCCTGAGGCACTCCACATACAATGTCCAGCTCACTCGATTGGTATTCACAGAACTTCACAAATTGACGCCTCTGTGTCAAATAACTTCTAATCCATTTCAGAACCATTCCTCTGATCCCATATTTTTCTAACTTGTCCATTAATAATTCATGATTGATTGTGTCAAATGCTTTTTTTAGGTCAATAAATATCCCCATTGTGTATTTCTTCTCATCCATAGCACTTGTAATGTCCTCCATCAGGTCGGTAATGGCCAAAGATGTCGACCTGTTCGACCTAAAACCGTATTGGCAATCGGAGAGGATTTTATGTTTGTCAATAAATGTGTCTAATCTGTTATTAAAGAGTTTTTCCAGAATTTTTGAAAATTGTGACAACAGAGAAATCGGTCTATAATTTTGTGAAGTTGTGCTTATCACCAGATTTATACAGTGGAATCACCTTTGCTATTTTCATATTATTGGGGAACTGACCAAGTCGAAATGACATGTTAAAAATATGGGTTAATGGTTTGCATATCCCTTCAATTACCCATTTAACAGTTGTCATAGTGATGCCATCACTATCACTAGATGTTTTGTTACCACATTTATTCACTATCTCTATAATTTCCTTTTCAACTATGGGCTTCAAAAACATAGAACTCATGTTCCTTTCGATTGTATTATTATTATTTATAGTGACGGATGTATCATCTGTACAAATGCTTCTTGCTAAACCAGGACCAACATTCACAAAGAACCTATTAAACTTATCTACTACATCCTCCAATCTATTAACCGGTGTATCATTATCCATAAAATATTGAGGGTAGTTACTCTTGCTGGAACTGTTTCTAATCAATTTATTTAATATATTCCAAGTACCTCTCATGTTATTTTTATTATCCTCTAATACTTTAGAGTAATATAGTTTCTTACATCTCCTCAAAATCTCAATTAATTTGTTCTTATATGACTTATATTTTTCTTCCGCCTTCTTTGATCTGTCCTTTATGAATTCCTTATATAACGCATTCTTCTTTTTACATGCATTCTGTAATCCCTTACTCATCCACGGTTTCCCACTGTAATTCCTTTTGTTTTTATACTGCTTACGAGGACAGTTCCTGTCATATACTTTCTTAAATATATTTAAAAATTGCTCATATGTTTTATCTAAGTCTTCCTCTCTCTCTTTTGTCGAAAGGCACAATTTTGATGGAGAAGAGTGCTAAATTAAGAAAGACATGAGTGGGTGGGATGGCAGGGTGTGCGAAAAAAGGACTGTATTGTGTAAGCCTGATGGTTTTCACTGAATCAAAATGAGCATGTCATGGAAAAAAAGGAGCGTGTTCAGAGACAATATGAAAAAGAAAGTAAAATCGAAAAACTAAGCCATCAGGCACCACGAGCAAAGCAATGCCCTTGGGGAGGTGGAAGAGAGCATTTTTGCCTGCTACCAGACAATCGAATGACAGTGAGAACAGAGTGTGTGGATCTTTGTGTGTGTGGTGACAGTAAGTCTGCATCAGAAGCAGGTTTCTTCATGCTCCACATACAAAAAAGGTCACTTGCCCCAGTCAATGAAATGACGTGAAATCGACCACAAGAAGCTTTGGCAGCATGATTCAGCCCACAGGCCTAGGGCCAATACGGTAGATAATGATAGGAAGAAAAAAAGGGGAAAAAGAAAGGAAAGAAACACCGCTGGCTAGCAATCAAAATGGAAGTGGATCCTCTCATCTCTATTTGCTCTGTCCTCTATCTACCCCCTCTTTTCTCCTCTTCAGTCATCCCTCCTGCTGGCAGGAGTAATCTGCTCCCCTTCACACCTTGTCAGTGGATGACTATGTTCGCCGTGATGACCCACCAGCCATAGGGGAGCAGCGTTGCTGTCGTCTGCATGGTAACCAGAGCTTGCCGTGTTGTTCTCTCCAGAGCTGTACCCAAAATGGGCTGAGCAATCTGTCACCGCCGATCAAGATACGACTCGCACGGTGAATTAGATCTCATTTATTCAGAATGTGGAGGAACAATATCTACAGGCGCAGAAATAAGGGGTACTCACATTAAGTGCCATTGGTCACACACTTAAACGCATAATTGGATAGAAGGGCTTGATAATATGTATAACGTAAATTCTCAAATAAAAGCTGTCATTTAATAGCTGTGACAATACAATTAAATAAACCCTTGCCCTTAATAAAAGCCTAATGAAACTAATTGTGTCTCACGGCTCATGATAAATTCAGAAAAATGTACTGTTCTCATTCAGTGTATACAGTATCATGCAGCAGTATACAATATGGTGCATTCACCTACTGTATATTAAATCTATTGTCACTGAAACTAAACAGGTCTTACAGATATTTCACATTAAAAGCATGCTAGGAAATTTGAGGTTGAGCTGCTGGAAATATTAGATTTTTTTTTCTGACTAAAATATGACACAACATAAAAAGGTAGGCTAAATAAAAAAAATAAAGGGTTATCTCTAAAATGAGACCGGGTCTATCTGCTACTGAGGTAAATAAAGAGCCAGACCACTGTGTGAGAATTTATGGTAGCTGAAGAAATGGAGTACAAGGGAAGCGCTGATAAACAAACAAGACATGCCACAAAGCATGAAGTTAAAAAGTTCAGCGGACATGAATTTTATCACCCAGAAGTAATTTCTGTTCCTGTAACAGGCTTTGTTTATGGACACACAGTACTGCTTACTCATATTTTGCTGTGTTACCCTGTCATCATGCTAGTGGCGGTGCAAATGAAGTCGGATCCATTATGAAAATCCACAGATGATTGAATCCTATACAACAGGTCAGTTGATAAAGATAATTACATCATTTCAATGGCCAATTGGTTAACATAATTACACCATTTTGAAGTCCATTTCCTACCTTCATCACAGCTGCCGGGCTTCACCACATCAATCCTCTTCTTCTGCACACAAGAGGACAGGTGGAGTTCGCACTTGTTCTCGTAGGTGGTGCCGTCACTTCCACACACTGGGGAGAAGGCCTCGCCTGAGCACGGCGGGCACTCGCACTTATTCTGGACACACCGGGCGCCCCAGGCACAAACAGAGCTGCCACATGTTTCTGTATTACACACACAGCAGAGGGGCAGGTCAGAGCATGATGGCCTAACACAAAAATGGGAATATTCATGGGGTTGTTTTGATGAATTTCATTGACAACAGACCCTAAAATGTATCTCTGCAATACATATTTAAATGATGATTTTTTTTTTACTTTTCTCATGCATGCTGCTTTCTCTTAGTAGAGCCCTCTATTAAAACGCACTTATACAGTAAATATTTCCATATCCAAGTATCCTGTAATTCCAGTTTTGACAAGTTACAATGGGAACTGCCCACATGTAGCTGTAAATTCTAACTTTTTGTGTTTTACTCCTGCATTTTATCCACTTACTTTTCTATTTTAAACTCACTTAGGATTCATGTTTACACCAATAACCACTTACAGTATATTCTTCATTTGATGGTGGGATTCAAAGATTAGTATAAGTATGACACAGTGTAAGTACTGGACACATACTGTATACATGTATGCAATACTTACTGCACTCTCCTTGGCTGACCACGTGGAGGTCCATCTGTTCTTTGCAGGCCCGAACGTGCAGCTCACACTCGCTATTGTAGGTGGTTCCATCGCTGCCACACACAGGCTGATGGGATTCTACACATTCTGATGCACACACACACTGGCCACTCTGGGCATCGCAGATTGCCCCGAATGAGCAGTTGGCGCAAGTCTCATCTAGATGGAGATAAGGACGAAGGCAAAAGCTTAGTGTTGGTGTGTTTACTGTGTGTGTGTGTGTGTGTGTTTTGGGTAGTTTTACATTAGTTCAGTGGCAAGCAGGCCTGAGATTGGAAAATATTAAATCCCTTTTACACTTTTTATATGTTGTTGTGCGCTCTTAAAACTGAATCAAATTTCTTTTATGTTATTAATCCACAAAGGTATTGATCTTACTGTTTGTTGAGCCTAGAAATGTCTCTCAAATGGCTACAAAGGTCTCACTGGTTGTTAACGTGGCATCAAGATAGTGCTATTGTCAAACGCAGTAATCTTTTTGCAGTATTTATGTGTAATCAACAGCCATAAAACAATTATTCAGTAAAGATTTGTTGTTGTCTAAAGATTCAGTGCAACAACACAGATACAAAAAGTGTAGTGAGGTAAGGTTTCCATTCTGAGCGTAGAACTGGTATAAAACTTTATCAGAATCCACCTGAGGTACATTCAGTTGAATTTGAAATACTTTACAAAGGGACATGCCTGTTTATTAAAAGGTGTCACGGTTCACATGCATGTGGGAGCTACAAACCAAGCCATGAAATTCAAAAATCTCACAGCAGATTCATGCGCAAGAGAATTCTACTGAGGCAAAGATGCAGGATAAAAACAACAGTTCCCAGAAACATGGCAGGTTCCTTCAACAAAGACATTTAGAACCAGCCAAAGCCACGTTTTCTAGAGCTGAAGCTAAATAACTGAAAACAAAGAGCTTCGGAAATTATCAGCAAAAATAGAACAGGCTGCCAGAAGGACGAACATCTCCGCAGCACTTTATAGGAGAGTGGCCAGAATGGAAAATGCTCCTGAGAAACAACCACATGACAGCGTGGCTGGAGTTTGCCAAATGACAAGAATTGTACACTTTGGCCCAAATGCCAGTTGCTGTATCTACTGTAGTGAAAGCCAGATCATGCTCATCAGCTGGCTACTACTAACCCTATGGGGAAGCTTGGTGCCAGCACTATCTTTTAGGGATGCTTCTGAGCAGCAGGTACTGGGAATCCGGTCAGGACTGAGTGAGAAAGTCACACGTTCACGGTTGTATTCAACAATTTGTATGGTTGGTCTCATCTGCCTTAAAACTGTGCTATTTTCCACAGCACTTTGACTGAATCAGTCAGCCGTTAATTGTACTTTCTCTACAAAAGACTGAGTTGAGACATCCAAAAGGCTTAAAGAGCTCTTTCCTTATTAGCTAGAGGATTCACTTGGATCATCACTGAAGGAACTTCCTCCTTCTGGGGACAGGCTTTCCCCCGATAGAAACAGCAAGGCAGGGTTAGACATGTTCATGGTACTGAAGGGTGTCATGGGGCCAGGAAACAAATGAGAATGCAAGTGTGACGCTTCATAGACAGATAGGGCTAGCAACACCTCTCCCTCTGACACCAATTATACCGGGAGGATTGCATTAGCACAGCTCCCTATCGCATTCAATTAGGCCCAGGCTAATAACCGCTGCTGATTTAGCACTAATTGAGAGAGGCGAGGCTGGCCGCCGGAGCCTTGCACATTATTAATCTGTTTATTACTGTTTAGGGTCTTTCATTTCCTTCATTTCTCCATCTAGTGCTGGCACCCATTCCCTCCTCAGATAACAGCCATGACTGTGAACTGGATATGGAAGTATGTGGCACTTAATATATAGTTAATTGTCTACAAAAACAGCATATTGTAATATAGTAGAATGACACATGGCTATGAAGTCATACTTAAAAATGAGTGAAACATGTAGGCCAATGTTCCCCCTAAACAGATCTGACCCGGGGCTCTCAGTTTCAGTTGCTACATCATCCATTGATATTTTAGACAACAATGTGGGTTCAAACTTTGTGACAACATATTTGGCAAGACCCTTTCCTCTTTCAGCATGACAATGCCTCTGTGCACAAAGCCAGATTCATAAAACAATGGCTGTTCAACCCTGGTGTGGAAGAGCTGAGCTGGTTTGTTCAGAGCCATCCAACGCTTTTGGGATTAAGCGAAACATCGGATGCAAGCCAGGCCTCGGCCACAGTGGCCGACCTCACTAATGCTCTTGTTTGCTGGACAGGAGCAAATCCCTGCAACCAGGTTGCAAAAACATGTGGAAGGCCTTTCCAGAAATGAAGAGACTGTAATAGCAGCATATTAATGCCCATGGGTTTCGTATGAGGTGTTCAACAAATCACATACAAATGCAATTTAGGGGTACTCGTATACTTTGTAATTTAAGTCAAATGATTTATGACTCAGACTAAATAATAATCAAATGTAGGTGATCGGATGTTGCTTCTTCTGCCTCTACAGTGCAAGTTATGGCTGAAAAGGTTGTTTGATGAGGACGATTTATAATAGCTGGGGTTTTCTGTGACAAAATACATAAACATAAAATATAAGTGTCTGTGGTTGCTGTGGTCGGGGCTCCTTGCTGGTTGTGGCAGCTATAAATCAGGAATTGGAGGTGGTGAGTGTCGTCCTTTATCAGGTCTTGTGTCCGGATAGCAGCCTCACTTCTTTATCAGCTCAGGCCCCTCACACCTGGCTCTCCACACTGCATGATACTCCAGAAAACATGCATTGCAAACGGACAGAAAAGGAGGGTCACATCACTTTTCAGTGGTAAACTGTTTACATCTCTTTCTGAAGGGACATAAAAAAGTTCACAACCATAAAAACTTCAGATTTTAAGGCAAAACCTCTGGCAGGCCAGGCATAATGGCGCATAGTCATAATGTTTAAAAGTGAGAGCTAGCGTGTTAACATTGGAACCTCGGACCTCTCATCTGATTCAAACACCTTTCATGTCAATCAGTGCTGGAACCTCTCCAACCTACAAAAATACACAGTGTAGGCAACATCAAAGTAGGTCATTTAAGGGCTTCTCGTGGAAGATCTAATATAATCTAATACCAACAGTAGCTAAAAAAACTGCATATCACTCTGTGGCCTGTCAAGCCCAGCCTTTTCTTTTGCTGATGACCTGCTGAATTTAGTCAAGGCCTCCTTGAAGTCCCTTGGACCTACATGAAACCACTGATGTTGCACTGTAACTGCTTCTGTGTTTGGTGGTAGTGATTTGGTTTTAGAAGTGAGTATGAGGTATTGGAGCAGTTTGGTATAAAAGGTGTCCCTGAAAGCATGAAGAATTGAATCACTGAGAAAAAAAAACAAAACACAGACCCTCCAGCTTTATAGCATTTTGTTGATATTCTCACTGGGAAAAATGCTGAATTGTGGCTGAAGGGGCCTGGGCGAAGTATTACCTCTGGATTAAGCAGAAAGAAGTAGGCTGACTTGTGTTTTGAAGGCTCGTGAACATGCCTGGGTGATAACAACTCCCCTGTTGACGCCTGCCTGGCCAGTAACTCAGCCCCCCCGACTTTCTCTGCTCCTCCTCATCTTATTTACCTCCATCTCCTTCCCTCCCTGCATTTAATACTTTCCCCTTTTCTCCTTCCTCTGCCCTTTTTCACTGTGTCTCTCCTGCCACTCTCATGCTGCTGGTATGACCTATATCTCTTACTCATCTGTGTACAGTATATCATTTCCAACACCTGTGGGAGTAAAAACGGGAATGTATTATTTCCTTTTCTCAGAGGATTCCTGTGCTTCTGCTCTCATCTGTTCAGGTAAAGCCGTATGAACAGCCCTTTTTGCGAGGTGAGTGATATCCAGCTGGGGGTCTATTAACTGAGTGCACCTCTCACAGTCCACTGTTACAAGGTCACCTGCCATTCAAACGCAGGAGGAGGAAAAATCTCAGAATAATAACAAATTTCACTCATATCGCTATCGGGGTGCACCTGAGTCATATAGATAACCACTATTTTTCGAGCCCAGAGGGAAAGAAACTGAATTATGACTGGGCCCATGAGAGACTCTAGTACTGTAAGTCCCACACACAACCAGCCAGTTAGCCGCGCATGGACATATTTTCCGTGGTGTGGCACCTCTCTCACCTCTTAAACTATTGCTGCCCTCACCTGCCCCCCTAAGCTCCAACTTGAGTCTGGAAGCCATAAACCTGTCAAAGTTTGGCCATCCTGTGCCCTGCTTGTGTCATATAGACCTACAGCTGATCACTAACAGGTAAAATTGCCTGTTTAAATCCCAGCATCAATTAAGTTAAATGTAAAGTCTGTTTCTGTTGCTGATCGTCACATCTGATGCCCCTCATGGACATAATGCTCTAGTGTGTCAGTCTGGATGATCAAGGTTTCACTCCATCACTTGTCATTTGTAAATAGGGTCTGTATTCAACACTAAGCTGTGTCGCTGTGAACCATCCACATCATCGTATAATGTATGTGGTTCAACAAAACACGCAAACACTCCCGGATGCCAATTGTGCATCTGAATGTGCATTGAGTCGACGTCATGAATCAATCACCACAGCTTAAATTTCAATATCACAATTTAGAGCATTTCATTACGCAGGACTTACATGTTACTGAAGATCGGATCTTCAAGCACTCTCAAAAATGCAACATCATGAATTTCCACCACATTACGCCAGTAGGCCTATTCTTTTCCCTCTCTCGAAGAAAAAAAAAAGTGATGGAGCATCATTCCAGTGTGTTCTGCCAACACTAGACCAATGTATAAAAATATATAAAGACCTACTTAATGTAGAATTAATAAATGAAAAAGTGGCATAAAATTTTGTGTTTCTTCCATTGCTCATGCCCTCATCCTTTAATTCCAATACTTCCAGTACCACCTGAAGGCAACATGTTTTTCCTCCTTTCTCTACACTTTTCTGCTCTATAAACATGTACTGTACAGTATATTAGTGGTGGAAATAGCTTGCGATAATTAGGTGAGATAAGAGTTTAAGTCAGTCAGTTATGTGCTGAATAAAGCCCAATAAAGCAGAAAAGCCCAGAAATAACCCACCATTATCATTGCCATCATTCCTCGGCCGGCCCTAGCCTGGCAAGCTAATGCCTCAGCATTTTTATGGCACTATTGCGCTGAGGCAGGCCTGTTCCTCTGGGAGCCAAGAACCATCCATAGTGCTGGATTACAGACAGGGCCCACCACCTCGCCAGCTTGCTCTGCCTCTCGCTTTTTAAAATAAAGACTATTCATTACAGCCAAGGGACCCTGGGCCGACATACATGGCGTCTACTTGCAGGACGGCACACCAAATTGAGTCAGCCCACCTGTCCCCCCCAACCAAACATGCTCTTACTCCATTTCCTGTTGGCATACATCATTATGCACTGGATTTCAATTTAGAGAAGGCTGGGAGGGAAAGATGACAGATGCAATACACAGGCAGGCAGAGAGAAAACAGTCCATGCAGGTTCCCTCCAACAACTAAACCTATCATCTAAAAGAAACTCAAACCACTACTCAATTTACAATGCAATCAGACTAGCTCCTCCAAACAAACTGGACCCATAAACAGTTTGAACACTTTAAGAGAAAACACTAGAGTATAATTTCACACCAGCAAAGTGAGACTAATTCGGTTGTATTGATCATTCTTCTGACGGCTCACTCATCCACAAATACAACACCACAGAGGCCAACTCATTTTCATTGTAATGATCGTCAAAATATACAGGAAAAAAAAATTGTAATAAAGCTGAGTAACTGAGACAGTTGGGCCAAGGGGCTAATATAACCGCTGTACTTCTGCCCAGCATGTGTGAAAAGTGAATGGCTTGACTGTAGACAAAGCAGTATACTCAATCACCAATTAGAGTCCACAAGAAAACTAGCTTTCCAAGATGGCATTAAGTCATCAAGAGAGTTCACTAAGTGGGTTTACCAAGCTGTAAAAATCTGTCCATATGGCTGTGTGCCTGCATAGTGGATCTGAAGATATTTTCACCACTTGAAGCTCTGCTGTTGGTGGCGTACTAATGACTAGCTGATACTCCGACAATGCAAGACAAAGCCAAATGTCTCATGTAGCCAATTACAGACAAGTATGCTCTGGCCTCTCCTTCTCTGTGAGTAAAGTGCATCTGGACTTAAAGGTCAAAGCAAACAAAACAGAGTTGCAGTGCTAGTATAGAAGGGCTGAAGAAGAGCAGAAGGCAAGAGATGAAGAGGAATGGAAGATGGATCAGGAAACTCCTAAAGAGACCTGTAGTTGTATAAAGTTTAGTTTGGACTTTGTTGGGATTTAAACTGAGAAGCCCCAGTAGTTCCCACATGATTATAGCTCCATATGCTTTAGTTATTAATATTTGCATATTCTAACTTTACAAACGAATTCAAGCTCTTTTTTCTGTTTGGGAGCTGTGATTGACACAATTTCATAGTGATTTCACAACTGTAGTATAAATGACCATATGGTGTAATGAAACTGCAAAGTGTATGAACATAATGCTGACTGCCAACTCATGAATAGGGTGCCAACATACTTTAGCTTTGTGGTTCTCTGGTGTTTTTTGCATGTGAAGATACTCACCACAGGGTCCTTTGTGCTGGATATGGATGGCCTTCTGCAGGGCACAACCCATCGCTCGCATCTCGCAGGGGCTGCCGTAGCTTTGGCCGTCTGATCCGCACACTGGGTCTGATGTTTGTGGGCAGGCCTCGGGGCATTCACACACCGGTTCATTGTTCTTAACCACGCACACGGCCCCATGATCACACTCCTTATCCAAACAGGGGCTCGGTATGTTGAGATCTGAAGGCCAACCACCCAAGAGATACAGAACAAAGTTAGAAAGGGGATACTTAACAGAGTAGATGAGGAGTAGGAAGAATATAAAGTAGAGGTTGGAGAAAGGTCTGGGACTAGGGGCGACAGGGAGGTATGTTAAAGAGTATAGCTACAAACCTGCATGTTTTTGTTAGAAAGGGTTTGGGAAGGAAAAAAGATATGATGGAATATGCAATATTCCCGGGACACCTTTGCTTCCTTAGCATCCTATGTCATTTCCCTGCCTTATGCCTATCCTGGTTCTTTGAAGAGTCCACCAAATCCGGTGGCATGAGGACAGCTGATAAAACCACGACCCTGTAGCACAACAGAGATGAAACAGACTGCGAACAATGGTTGCACAGTCTTTTTATTCAGGCGAGTAAACGCCTGGATTAATTGACGTTCCCAATGTTCCCCTTCAAAGGCTACCATTTGCATCTCACTGAGAGCCACAGCTTCAACCAAAGCTGGTTGAACTGACATGGAGGAGCTAGAAAAGGAAGAGCGCTGTGGAGAGAGAAAATGTAGAGAGTGGAGGAAGAGAAAAAAAACAGGCAAAGAGAAGAAAGAGCCCTCTGCTTAATAATTCAAAAAAGGCAAGCTCCTGGGCAGAGGCAGATATGAAATATGAACATCACAGAGAGGTTTCTGCTTCAGTCTCCTTCTCATGCACTAGCTCCAGCATGACTTCATTAAAATGAGGACTGGATTTTGCACCTATGACTCTCAGTGGCAGCAGATGGGTGTAGGCTAGGCTGATCTAACCTGACTTGATCAAGAGAGAGAGAGAGAAAAAACTGTATTAACAGAACTTTGATCACAGCCTGCAATTCTGACTCAGTCAAGTCTTTATAATGTACTGTATGTGTCTATGATAATACTACATTGTCACTGTACGCCAAGACAACCAAGCACAAGGGCAGTTTCTTCCCCAGGGCTGTCACTCTGATGAACACTTGACCCCTGTCTGTCAGCATTGTTTACTGCCTGTTTATACTGCTTATTTTGCATTGTTTGCACTGTTTGTTGCTTGTTAATACTGTTTATTTTGTAATACTACACAGCCTTATGTTGGTTTACTGTCTACTGTTGCATTGCATGGGGATATGTACATGCACATTCAGAGCCGCTGTACCAGAGTCAAATTCCTCGTGTGTTCGACACACCTGGCCAGTAAATCAGATTCTGATTCTGATTGTGTATAATGAGACAAGGTGCCAGAGTGTTTGTGCCAGTGCGAAGGGCTTGGCTTTATGGTTGGATGGTGTAAACTCTGGTATCAAAATTAAGCAAGAGACAATAACCAGGCCCCAGAGTGATTTTCAGCTGGAAAGCTTTACATATGGGGGATGGATCCCTCAACTAAATGTGGTGTGTCTGTTGATTAAAGGTTAAAGAAGCAGATGGAGGCATTTAATAATTTTTGATGAGAAGCAAGGGTGAAAATTGAAGGTGGTGCATTTTATACCTAAAGTCAAACAAAACTTCTTCTTTTTCTAGTTTGCCTTTAGAGGGGTGGGGGGGCTGTCATGGAAACAGTCCCTTGTAATGACACCACCCGTGGCTCCATCATTACCATGACCATTATGAGATTAGATGGCATCACAGGGGGCCATCACGTCGTGCTTGGTGCCCCATGATTCATTTATCAGCTTAGAAGCATTCTGTAGTGTCTCTTCTCAAAGCATTAGTGCTGGGCTAAATTTTTTAACACAGACACGGGCAATTAGCTAGTTTCACTCTGATTAAAGTGTAGGTAGGGAAATATGAGTTAGGGATAAATGTCAATCCTACAAAATTGTGGTTGTATTTCAGGTTCTCAAGCAAGGACATCCCCTCCCGTTTCCAAAAGGCAAAACACAGCTACTGATTCTTATGTTATGATGCCAAGCTTCTGTGTTAAAAGAATTTGGAGGTGCCACATGTAAGCTGTTCAGTGCCGCTTAATTTTGGTACAGCTTCAAAAACAATTGATTTCCCCATGATTGCTTTTCAATGCCTTGTGTGTGTCTGTGAATGTGTGTGTGTGTCACAATCTTGTGATCCGAGCTTAACTGTACAACCTTGGCCTCCATAAGAGTTCACCAGCCCACTACCCAAGGGCAGGCTCCTAAAACACAACTGCAGCTGCCGATAACGCCTTTGTCTCCCATTCTCTTTGTTTCACACACACAAAAAAAGATGAAAGAATTTTCCTCCAGAACTAATTTTCTATCATCCTCTACCTCTGGGGGGCAAAATTTCTGCCTGATTTATTAACTGGAGAGGGTGTGTGTGGTGGGGAGAAGAAGACAAAACTGAATGCAAAAATCTTATGACACAGTTAAAACACTGAAGCCGTCTTTTTACTGGCTCTTGGATCCAGGCAGAAGCTTTGAAATGGCAGCCTGTCACGACTAAAGCTTGTGGGATGGTGTTCACAAGCCTGTTCTAGCTGTGTTTCTCTCCCTGGTCTTCTCCCAAAAATTTAAATCCATCTCTTCATGCATGTGTTCGTGTCTCTGTCAGGCAGGTCCAGAATAAAACAAACTTGCTGGGTTTAAACCTGGCTATTTGTATGTGAAAATTGGCTTGACAGCCAAATGGGAACATCAGCAGTGCTGAACACATAAGCGCAGTAGCCAAGGCATTTTTTAGTTGCTTAGCAGGTGCAGTAAGGGGTCTTTGGTGGCAGTCAGGAAAAGCCAGGAGAAATAACGATAAAAAGTAAACCAACTGAGAAGACTTTACATTCTGGGGGTCACCTCAGTCTGTATCCTCTCCTACCAGCTGCTGTGTAATTTTTCTATTATGATTAGTGTGATATTTGGGTGGCACGGCCCAGCTTCAGGACTTAGAGGGGATTACTTCAGGAAAGGCTGCGCTGTGTCACCACACCCAGGCACGGACTCTGGCTGACCACACTGAATGCAGAGAAAGCAGGTTCCTCTGAAGTTTGATATCTGCTTACCTGTCAAAGTATCATTACTAGCCACTTAGAGGTGCTATCTGACAGGTACAGTGGAAGGGTGCCACAGTGTAACTTTTAAAGCTTCACAACACTTCGTTAGGTCAGTGTGATCGACAGGACTCTGGCAGTGATTGTGTGGTCGGCTCCTGCAGTGAACAGACGTACACTGTTAACCCCCCATAACATGTCTGTGAAATGCTGGGAGATTATTTTGGCGTGAACTTCCTCCCATATCCATTCAGCTCATACATATGTTAATTGGACTTTCCCCCTCAGGTCCTTGTGCAATTCCAAATCACTCCCTGTATTATGCAGGGCAGTGAATCAGTGTAATCCAGGTGATGCTTGCAGTAGCCAACTGGCAGGGAGAATCAACTATAACTGCAACCGATTACAACAGGACCAATGGGGCACAACCAATCTGCAGCAAGCCCCGCCCTCTGGGCTCCTTCACCTGCAGGACTTTGACTCGCTTTGCTAACAAACATTAAAAACATATAGTTGAGGTAAAGGGAGGTGCAGAGGAAATGCTGTATTAACATACATCAAAAAATCATACCCGCAGGCGGTGTCTATCTATCACTGAATACTTATCACAGACAGGAGGTGAGTCAAAGCTTCTTTGTGCATTTACAACCAAGAATGTGCTGCTCTTCAAAACAGAGACAAGCAAAAACACTGTGCACACACACCCCAGACATGTTGGGGTGTGCACAACAGGAAGTTTCAAAAATGATGTTGAAGATTTCTCAAGCTGACGTATGCAAAAGAAAGTGCAAGTAAAAATGGAAAAGCAAAGCTCTCCAGTAAAAACAGAGGCTGCAGCATGAGGAAGGGCTCAGGAATAACTGAAAATTAAATGAAAAAACAAAAAAAAAATAGAGAAATTGGAAGCGCTGCATGGTTGATCACAGGCCGACGGCGTGAAACAACCACGGTGCCTCGAGTCATTTCTGACACCCTGTTGACTCACATTTCTCTGCAATTTCAGCGACAGCCTACAGGCCACAGTAAGTGGACCAGCGATCCGTGGCTGCTGTCAATCTGGCTCCCACGGCACTTCCTCTAATTAAGTTGATTAGGAAAAACAGCACTGGAGAAATCAGGCTGACTTACACACTCAAGCTTTACATCTGTTTGTGAGTCCAATCACTGCAGCCGCACATCGCCGCGAAGGCGGAGATGCTCATCAAACAAACATGCAAATGATAAAATATTCGACACACAGTCTTGACACCTAAGGTGACTGATTTCTCTTTCCGGCTTTGCAGAGCTCTTTGTCAATGACAATGTGTCTGCTGTTGAGTGATTCTGCGTTAACCTCCAGAGGCGACAGGCAACACATTTCAAGCAAGTAGCTCACACTTGCATGCGTCTTTCTGCACTTGCAATCATGCACCCACACACTCAGCTGTGTACACAAGAAATGACAAAAGTGCTGTGAATAAAGAATTTGTGTCTGTAAAACCAGTTCTTTCATTTGTTCACTCCTGGTTTTTCTTCATGCGTGTTTGTTTTAGTGATTTTACAGAATGATCCTCCTCTGCATTCTCAAAAGCCACACTGCTGCTTATGTTCCTACTTTATGAGCTGCCTGATCACCCACTTCCTCTTCTACAATTTTTCTTAACTACTACATTGTAGTAAGTCATCTCACATGCTTTCAGTATCTTCCACTAATTCAGTGTACATCTGAATGTGCATTAAAATTGTTCCACTTATAAGCATTGTGGGAACAACCATCTGTGCAGGAAGTAAGCTGTGATACAACTTTTACAGATTTTAAAAAAGTTTTAATGAAGTATTTCTGAAAGGGCTTATTTACAAATTATTTTGAAAAGTGTTTTTACTTAGTGAAAGTCTATGTGGAGCCTTTTTTATAATGAGCCTTATTCTGCTGGTTTTCACATTTGTCTCTCACTTTAGAACTTCCTGCAGCTTCAGCTTAGTGGGAACGCTGCTGTCCATTACACACACGCACACACAGGGCGGTGGCGACTCTAAACAGTGATCGAGCCTCGTCTTTTCAGCA